GACTAGGCAGATTTAGAAAACACACTTTAATGGGAATAGTGCTAAGTGAATGAATGAGTCACTGAGAGAATAAGAATAATGATCCAGGAGTTATAGTGTGCACCATAGAACACTAATCATGCAGAATTATGAAAAATGAGTTATCTGTTCTGTTACATTTAGGATATGTGGAATATTATGTTCTTCTTTTAGAGATTAGTGAGGCAGTTCATTGGCATATTGGAGTCTGAGAAATTCTACATCATAGACATGTATTTAACATTTAAACAAGTTTGCCATATTTACGTACCAACTCTTCCCCAAACCCTTTTCTCACCAAATGTTTTACCATGCACTTTGGGAAATGCTGTGTTGACTTGTCAGATGAACACTTTCATTATTACTTTGAAAGGAATGAGGTTATGGCTAATAAAGTCTGATCTGGTAGGCGTGGGCAAATGATTTGACATGTCCTGGAAGGTAAAGAGGGAATGGCATGAGCTACTGCTAGAAAAGGCAGGCCCAGGGATATTTCCCAGGCAGTCAGGGAAGAAATGTAAGGGAATTTAGAACACGGTGAATAAAGGTCTAGGATTTTGTAGAAACCCGAAACCAAACCCACTGCCACTGAGTTGATTCCGACTCATAGCGACCCCATAGGGTTTCCAAGGCTGTCAGTCTCTACGGAAGCAGCCTGCCACGTCTGTCTCCCGCAGAGCCACTGGTGGTTTCGAACCGCTGACTTTTCCATTAGCAGTTGATTGCTTTAACCACTGTGCCACCAGGGCTTCTTGGATTTTGTAAAGATGGTACTAAAATTAAAAATTGATGGTTCCCAGGTTTGGAGGGTTTTTGTTTGCTTTTTAAATGTTTTTGTTTGGGGCACAGCCCTGTTCATAAACCACTATCCTGGGGAAGTAAGGAACCAATCTAGATACCACCATTTCTAGCCTGTCCTCATGAGACTTTGCAGACTAGCATTTTTATTCCTACATGACGATACAGTCAATTTTTCAGTGCCGCTGCCGTAGCTTATTCTGTCTGTAATTAGCTGTATACACTAATCACCTACCAGAAAGATGGTTTGGACTAAGCTGTAAATCCCAGCAGAGATTACTTTTTTTTTGGCTGAAGTAGACTAAATAGCTTTTTAAAATTATATTTTTATCATATTAAAAATTCAAATAAGGATCTTTTGACTCTCCGTTATAGGGCAGCCTAGACATATAAAGAACTAATGATTTATAAGTTTATGTTAATAGTAGTGGAATGATTTGGAAAAGGATAGCGAGAAGGGGCATACAGCTTGAAGAATGTAATCAATATCACTGAATTGTACATATAGAAATTGTTGAGACGGTGTATGTTTTGTTATGTATATTTTCACCACAATAAAAAAAGAACTAAAGATTTACTAACTTTTTGTACGCATTACTTTGCATTTCCATCATTCTGTTTAATCACTTTGCCTAAAAAATTGCCTCGCTCTTTTTCACCCATCTATTTAAATTCCATTAATCACTTGGAAATTTTTCCAGATCTTTGGAATAAGTTCGTTGCAATAAATTCACAATCTGTACAAATGAAGATAGTCTTTTCAGATTTTACATTATTTCAGCCTGTTTCCCCACTTAGGTTTCCCAGCAATGTGAGGACCTACCCATATGCGGGGGCAGAATGGAATAAAAGGAAGCGTTAGAGTAACACTGCCTTTGGTTCTCTCTTAGGTCATCTTGGCCTAACTCTGAGTCCAAATGGTTTCTTATGATGGTACTGCTGCTTTGGTTTTTTAAGAAGTCAGAATCTAGAAGATTAGAAATTTGTTAGGTTAAGACTGTAGCTATTTGGTAACTTTTGAAGTATATGTAGATAATATAGCCAATGGCATAACAGGCTAATTGTCCTGATGTTTATATAATTATTTTATAGCATACTTGGTCATACCTACTTCTTAACCTAAAAAATTAGGCAACAGTTTCTGCTATTGGTTGTGTTATTTAATGAAATTACTGATTCTATCTTTAATCAAAATTTAAAATGCTGTACCCTGAGTTGTAGCTGCAAGATAGAGGCTGGCCTTTATTTGCTTCAAATTCTCTACCAAGAATGGTGGATGAAGTGATTACTAAAGAAATGCAGGAAAGGACTGTTGCTATGGGCAAATTAAGGCCAACAAGCTCTTCAGAAAAAGAAACGACTATTTTCAGAGACAGTTTTGCGAATGAGTACCACCCGCAGTCCTTTTTACCTTTTCTCCGTTCTCCAGAGCACGTGGCAGGAGACTAAATAAAATCTGTTGTTCACCGTTTACCCAGGACAAATCAAATACACTGAGCAAGTGCTTGTTTGCAAAGCCGCTGTGTGCTTGGTGTTCTACAGGAGCCTCAATCCGTTTTTCCCCTTGCACTGCCTGTTGTGAAAAGACATGGATATTGTTACTGTTTTTTATTTGAACCATTTCACTGGTATTGTGTCTCAGGCTTCTGACTATAACCTGGTTCTGTTATAGCTTCAGGAGTCATTTGACTTATAAAGGCCATCAAAGAGTAAAAACAATGATATTATTGGCAAATGGTTCCTATGACAGAAAGTAATTTGGTTAAAATAAATGTCATTTTGAATAATATTCAGGACAACTCCCAGTCTTAGGCAAACTTGGGTGTGCCCTGAACAATGACGTGGGCAGGAAAAATGTTAAGAGATTTCAGATCTAGGACAGTAGAAAGGTGCCCAGACATATCTCTGCATAGTCGATTACACAATTTGGCTTACCGACCTAGGAACGCCCTTTAACTTAAACCCAGTTACCACTTGTGATTTTTACAGGCACGTCTAGTTTTATTCTAGTAGGTTCCTGAGCCTGTTTACTCCCCGTTCACCTTTGTTTCAGCTTTTGCAGTATTAGTGAGGCATTGCAGGTTCTTGGAGGTCAGTCTTCAGATTGCCAAGTAAGGATTAAGTAGGGATTACCCTGTGTTCCTTTAATTATAACAAATGAAAGACAAAAATCTAAGTTGAACTTGTAGGGAACTGCACGAAAGACTTATTTCTACTTATCTCAAATATAGGAGGGTGTCCAAAGGAAGAGTCCTGGCTTAACCAGGGAAAGCACAATAATACCTCCTGTGTGGGCAGCTCAGAAGGCAAGAAGGTATCTGTACAGTTCAGAAGGAGTTAATTATTTTTAAGAAGTCATTTATATTTTTCCCCTTAAAACCATATCTATTTTGCCTCAGTTATGAGATATTTTTCTGTTCATATAACACATTCCCTCACAATTCCAGATAACTTTTTTTTTAGATGATTGTATTTTGTTTTAGAACAAGAAAACTAGAATTACAGAGTATTGAGAAACTTGAGGATAGGTTCTGAAGGCATCCAGGCTGTATCTCTAATCTGTCTCATTTGTCAACAGTGTGATGCGTCTTTGGCCACTCACTGACGCAGGTATTAATTTTCTCAACTGCAAATATTAAGGTATTGATTAGAGATTCTCAACTTGGTTCTATCCCAGCACGCCTGAGGAATACAAAGGCATTGCCATTAGTAACAGCAGAGAATCAAAATCTTGAGAAGGGGTGGTGGTATAGTTTTAGGAAGAAATACAAATGATGCTGAAAACCTCACCCCACCTTTTCCTTCAGAATCACTAGAGCAGATCTATTTGATGACTGAGGTTCTTCCAGTTCTAAAATTCTGTGTTTCTTTCTCTTTCTCTTCCTTTCATGCCACTTGCTTCTCTATAATATACGTTCCAATTTGTCCTCTGCATGTAAGATACATACACCCATTTCTCACGTATTGACATGGTTAGGTTCCAAAGACCAGGTCGTTATGTGAAAATTGGCATTATTCGAAAGTGGAGGATGACCACATCAGGTCACAAAACAGAGGATGACTACATCACTACATCACTGCCAGATCACTTGAGAATCGTGGCCCAGCCAAGCTGACGCATAACCTTCACCATCACAGCCAGCATTACTCTTGCCTTGCACCTCAGCGTTCATTACTGCCAGATGTACATCGTTAATGCGCGAACTAGTTGGATAGTAGATTCTTTTACCATTGTTGGAAATGCAAACTGTCAGAGAACCAGATAGTAAGTGAAGAGTTAGGTATATACTAAAATACAGTTATCCAGATACTAAATTTGTAATATAAGTGCTTCTTTTGCAGTGCACTGAATAAGACCTAGTAGTTGATCACGCAACTACCATAATTTCAAAGTCGTATTTAACCTAAAAGGTATACAAGATACCTGCAACGAATATAAGGTATTATGAAAATACCTGATTTTTATTGTCAGTACTTTAACGTGGCTAGTTGCTGCAGCATAATTGGAGATGATACTAAACTTCAATTAGAGGTTACTAAAAATAAAGATGTAAATTTTTTCCTGTTCTAGAGTTATTTTTATTCCCCCGACATATTCTAGGAAGCCAAATGTAATCCTCACTCTCAAAAGATGTAATCTTTGAGGAAAGTGGGGCCCAGGGTCTCTTCCATATTTATCCCTTAATGCTTTTCAAGCCTGTAAAATAAGCAAGTGGTTATTTGTGAAGTGGTGCTTATCAATATCTCTTGCATTAAGAACTTGGCTTATTGCCACAGATTTATTTTATTATGGATTACTAAAGAGCTAGAGATCTACAAAAGCCAACTTAGTCATTTTATCTTAGAGCAAAATCAGAACATAACTGAGAGTCGTAAGTGGTGCTTACGTCCCATTGAGCTGTTACAGCCGTATGTTACCTTGTCGCTAAGAGAAAATGTAACTCTTCTCCTAGGCTCTGAATCATCCTTTTACTTCAGGGAACTAATATTGCTCGGTCAAATCTGTGCGATTATTTTTTATAACAGTTCCTTCTATTTTTTATTATCTCTTTATTGATGTTTCTTAAGGAATTTATTTTAACTTTTTGCTTATTTCCTTGGTTGATTTTTGTTGCTGATTTTTTCAAAATTACTTGTTTTGGTCATTCATTCTTTTCTTTTCTTTCCAACTGTTTGTTTTTCAGACCCGAGTCAGAACTCCATCACAGGGGAACACAGCCAGCTGTTAGGTACAGTATTACTGTGGGGATTGACTCTAACGTTACCTTTTCCTGCTTGTACTAACAGACATGATTCCCTTCTCTAATTGTATTTTCTGTCTCCTCCTTTTCTACTTCCTGCTCAACTTTTTTCCTCCTATTTCTATTCCCAACTGGGTGAGAATTTTTGGAAACTATTTCTTGGAATTGATTGCTAAGACTCAGTGTAGTTAATTTATAAATTTTGCATGGTCTATACTGTGGCGCAGTGGTTAAGAGCTCAGGCTGCTAACCAAAAGGTCTGCAGTTCAAATCCACAAGCCACTCCTTGGAAACCCTATGGGGGCAGTTCTACTCTGTCCTATAGGGTCACAGTGAGTCGGAATCCTCTAGACGGCAACGGGTTTTTTTGGGTATAGTTTAAAAAGGAGCCCTGGTGATGCAGTGGTGAAGTGCTCGGCTGCTAACCTAAAGGTCGGCATTTAAACCCACCAGCCCCTCCACGGGAGAAAGATGTGGCAGTCTGCTTCCATAAAGATTACAGCCTTGGAAACCCTGTGGGGCAGTTCTGCTCTGTCCTGTTGGGTTCCCGTGAGTCAAGATGGACTCAACAGCAGTGGGTTTTTAGGTATAGTTTAAAAAAAAAATCTGTGAGAATTAAAATTTATTTTTTCCAAAATAATTTTGGTAAAAAGATATAATACTCTGTAATATCTTGGACTTTGCAACTTTGCCTTTTTCATTCTTCTCCTTTGTCTTTTGACCACCTTCGTTTTAATTACTAAAAGCACTTCATAAACAGCACAGCCTTCAGGGAGCTATAGAAATTGGTGTTCCAGTTCCTTAACAGTGAAATGAGTTATACACATGAATTAATCTCCCCAGGTATCACCTTTTTAAATTGCAGTAAGCTTTATGACAAGAATTGCACAAGATCTCAGGACTGATGAAATATCAAAATATAAAAATAAAACATGCTGTGGTGAGAATTTTAGATAATACAAAAGGCATATATAAAGAAGGTAAAAGTCCTCTAAAATACCTTCTCTCCCCACCACCCTACCTCCACTCCCCTAGGTACCTGCTGTTTACAGTTTCACGGGACTTCTTCTAGAAACGTTTTATTACAAATTTTCCTGTTATATATGTCTGTCTGTCTTTCTCTTTTATATCAATTGGATTGTATCATACAGACTTTATTCTATACTATGTTGTTGTTAGGTGCCGTCGAGTCGATTCCAACTCATAGCTACCCTACAGGACAGAGGAGAACTGCCCCGAAGGGTTTCTGAGGAGCCGCTGGTGGATTGGAACTGCCGACCTGTTTTGGTTAGCAGCCGAGCTCGTAACCACTGTGCAGCCAGGGCTCCATACTATACTATCAGCTACCTAAAAACCTTTTTTAGGATAATTTGGCCTCGTAGGTGAAAAGCTGGTTCAGCTGCTCTGTCTGCTGAGTTGAATAATAGCACCTTTCAGAACTTTCCTGCTGACTTAGATTCATAACAGCATCTTTTAGACCTTCTGTGTTCTGTGACTTGCTTTTTGTCTCATAACATTTTCTCTTGGACACCTTCACAAAGATCTGCTTCATTCCTTGGTGTGTGGTGGAGTAATATTCCGTTGAATTCCTGTACTGTAATTTTATTTAACCGTTTTCCTCTTCATGAGCTTCTTGGTTATTTCCAGGTATTTTGCTTTACAAAGAACGTCGCAGTGAGCATCTTTATACATATATCCCTGTATTCTCATTGCCAGTATATTTGTAAGATAAATTCCTAACAGTGGGTTCTTTGGTCACAGGGTATGTACGTTTTCAAGAAGATGCATCAACTTAAACCCCCACCGATAAAGAGTATGCAGAAATACTTGGTTCCCAATCATCAAACGTAGATATATCAATCTTAAAAATTTTTTTTTAATATGTGAAAAATGGTATCTCTAGTTTTTATTTGCATCTCTTAATTATGAGTGACATTAAGTACTTTTTAATGTATTAATACCCATTGTGTGTGTGTATGGTTTGCTTTGAGGCTTATTTTATTTGTACATTGGTGAGCTGAATATATTCAAAGCAGCTGTACATAATATAAGCTACCAAAAAGTCCAAAGTAGGGAAAGGTACTTGGTCTGACTTGTTTTCTTATAAAAACTCCAGAGTGTTAGTTGAGAAATCTGGGATGCTCCTTTCTGCTCTTTCGATGCTGAGGAGATAACTTTCTGATCTTTGAGTGAGTCTGCGTGCTGGAATAGTACCTGACACACTGGGCACTCGGTAGATATTTGTTGAACGAGTGGCTTGACATAAACATGCCTCTGCGTGATACAGAGTTAGGAGCACCTCCTTCACTTGGAGCCCAGAGCTGACCACCAGCGTCCTCACCTTGGGGTATTAAGCTGTCACCATTCTCATTTTATACTTTTATATTAGATAGCTTATTTAAACTATTCAGAACTAGTCTTACTTATATTAAAAATTCCATATTTGGATTAGGAACAGTTAGGATCTCATTGAAAGATTTCACCAGACAATGAAAAATACATTTCCTCCCCCCTAAACTATTAAACTACTCCCGTCCCTGATACATATCTGACAGAGAAGTTCATCATCTGACGAGGAACAAGTGTATAATGGATATGACGACGACAACAACCCATTGCCAGCGAGTCGATTCCAACTCATAGCAACCCTATAGGATAGAGTAGAACTGCCCCACAGGGTTTCAAGGCTGTAATCTTTACAGAAGCAGTCTGCCACATCTTTGTCCTGCGGAGCAGGTGGTAGGTTTAATCCGCCAACCTTCGGGTTCGCAGCCGAGCGCTTAACCGTTGCACCACAAGGGCTTCTTCATAATGGATATAGTGAAGTATTTGTCTAATGAAATGGGAGTGTCAGCAGTCGGTTCACTTCCAGTGTTACTAAACTGGATTTTGTTCCCAATTCAGCACCTAAAGTAAAAGATACCAGATGAATTGTTGGCAAAAAAAGTAGTAGTATATGATTGTTAGGGAGGAGTTCTCTTAGTCAGTATTAGCCAAAAATTCTAGAAGTCTTTGCAAAGAGACCATGCCAGACATTAATCTGATCTGACAACCTACAATTACAGTGAACTTTTAACAAAACTGGTAGTTTATCCAGAGCCTTCTGGCCCAGATTCTTAGGTAAGTTCCTCCATTGCTCTCCTAGGTTTATGAGGCCAGAGCCTATCCTCCTCTTTGCTCCTGCTCTGAAGATCTAACATCTTTGCCTCCCGTCCTAAGATTGTCGTTTTACTACAGTCTCAAAATCCTTAAAAGGCTGGTTTATTAAATGTACTTCGAGTTTGTAGAAGAGTGAAAGATGATTTTTGTTACATTTTCTAACTATTTTATACTTCCTCTGAAAAGGCATTGGTAGCTTGAATTAAAATCTTGCCAGCTACCTATGAAAACCTTGAGGATAATTTGTCCTGGTAAAGGTAAAACTGGAGCTCTGGTAATGCAGTGGTTAAACTGGTTTGGTTGCCTTGCTGGCTGAATTAGATTTATAATAGAATTTTTTTAGACCTTCTAAATGTTTTTCCTGTCAACAGGGTGCAGTTATTTCAATGTATACTATTCCCACTGACTCATCAGATCTCTTGTAAAACTCAGGGTCAGGCTGAGGAGAGGTATAAAAGATGAGAGAGTAAAACTACTGTTGTGATAATGAATCAAGCTGTCCGTTGACGATCTACAAGTGTACATATATATAAGTTATAAAAATTTTAGAAAGAAAGCAAACTAGCAAGCCACGGGCCCCTGGAATTTTTACAGTCAAGTTCTACCAAACCTTCAGGGAAAAATAACTCTTGTCTGCTACAATCTCGAGGAATAGAAAAAGAAATAAATGCTCCCCCCTCAGTTTGAGGTCTCCATACCCTTGATACCAAAACCTAACAATGACAATAGGAGAGAACAAACGTATGGGCAGAAGATACTTAGGGAGACAGATATAAAAATCCTGATCAGCAATGACAATAGGAGAGAACA